ATAGCAGTCATAGCATTTCCTACTCAACGCTTTCAGGGAAGTTTTTCATAAGGTGCTTGCGATACCAAAGTAACTTTTATTAGTAGGCCTACCTGCCTGCATTAGCTCAACAGCACCAAAACTCTTCAAGACAGATGTACGTATTTTGTATAACTCTGCGCCCCCAGAGCAAACCGAGTATTGTGTAGAACTTCAACTCTGTTTAGAGGAAAGGTCGAATGGCTCCAGGCTGTCATTAAAGCATCACGTTGCAGTTAGAACAGGTACTTTAACGTCCAATATATCCACTCATGTGCCCATTAAAAATATAATAATCGGGTTAGAAATTAAACATTCGATGAAAGCATCCGCTGGGGGCGATGTTAAAGTTTATTATATCAGCGCACTTTAAACGTAGCCCCTTCAGTAAACTTTAACAAGCAAAAAGCGCACAGATCCTTTCGTATGCAAAATGCGCCAGAACAGACTGGTTTTGTAATGCAATAAAAATTACTAATTCGGGCTAAGAAAGGTAGAAACGTTCGAAATTTGTTTGAAAACACCTGTCGAGATTTCAATGATACATCAAGATACAGAACTATAGCATCTCGGCTGTTAGCCATTTGCGTTACGCCAGTCACCCACCAGCAGCGTTTGTCGCCAGTTCGTTGTATAATACATTCTCTGTTGGTTAGGGTTAGAACGATTCGAGGTTCGAAGAACTGGTTCACTTAACAACGATCATAATCGTTCTTAGACTATCTGGAATAGCAATGAGTATTATACTTGGGAGAAAAACGGCTGTAGGGACTGATTCTATATTTCGACATATAGTAGCAATCTCTGCTTTCGAATTTCATATGGAAGGGGCAAACAACATTTTCCATCTTGGAACGTATTAGCATGATAGCGCTATGCAAAAATGCCCTTTACGCATTTAATTTTCCCTGGTAGTTTTTCGACGACCTATGAGCTCGTAGCGCTAACGCTGCAGTCTTTCGCTGCTATGGATCTGTTAGTTCCTTAGTGGACATTCGAATCACTTTGCCAGACCCAAGATTCTATGTTGATTCGTTGGCGGATTTGCCGGTTGGCCTTTACTGCTTTTAGCCGCGCTTTTACAATGCGCGCAAAATTTCAAATGATCTGATTGTTGACGCTACGATTGGCCGTAACAGCCACTAAAACAAAATGCACATTACTCCTAAGGGGAATTTTTATTCGGGAAACATCAAATAGCTATACATCACATTTGGCAGCTCTAGCGTAAGATGCAAGTCTGTTCTGTAAATTTTTTGAGTTGAAATAGTCATTATGGTTCGAGCAACTAGAGTATCTGTAACACAAAAGTTGACGCGATCTCGTTCGTGTAAGTAAAAGTTCCTATTGCGGCTTGAATACTTTGCTGGGACATACGAATAGGCATTTTATGGCACACAACTACATACATATAATATATGCGTCTCTGCATCTCTAATGCAGAGAAAAAATCGAACAATACGAAGTGGAACTCAGCCTATCGATAGGCCAAAAAATTATCACAGACACACACACACACACTCACACTAGCACTAACGTGATGCTCTCCCGATTTTAGCTCCCTTTACTTAATACAGTGTTTTTTTTTGGTGCCAAAAGCTTATGGCATTCATTTTCCATGGCAGGCTTGATACAGTAAAGTAACACCAAAAAAAAAGCCGTTCTTAATCGTTTGTCGATGCATTGTGAGATAGTATTTCACGGTGCAAAAGTTTCGGAAGCTTCCATGCGGTGCTTGAGAAAACTATCGGCCTTTTCTATCTGTAAGCTGTTTTTTATTTACATCATTATATTTATATTAATGCTAGTAAAGAAAATATTGATGGTAATACAAGCAGTAGCTTTCACTACGTGTGGTGTTGTCTTTTCGATTTACTTTAGAACACAGATCGCGAGCCGCGTTCTATATGAAACGCATTAAGGTGGTATATGAAAGCTTACTTGCCTGGACGAGGATAGGCACTGCTTAAGTGAATGCTTAGTATCATCATTCGTAAAGGCTGTCTCCTTCAGAGAGTCATAATAATGTGTATTTTTCTGGCTAGCCTGGATTCGAAACAAAATACTAACCCGGTTTAGAGGTACATTCAAATATATATATATATATATATATGTAAGTCGAAGCCCATAGATGGATAGTCCATTTAAGTAAGCCTGCGTTGTCAATATGATCGCGCATAGTGTGGTACAACTTTTTTTCATGCGCTAACATTTATGATTCAGTAAAAACACCACTAAATCCAGTTCCTTTTCGGTCAATGTCTAACAGTACGAACACGCCCATGAGTTATACGACAACAATGGAAGATTTTACACTGACAATTACCAGTATCACTACTCGTACACGTAAAGGTGGACACCTTTATATACCGGCCTGGACGTATACTGTACAGCAATTATTCATATGGCGAGGCTGAAGGTTCGAAGCTCCTATAGATGTGCCGGACCTTCTCATAGAAAAGAAAACCTACTAGGTTATTTTTCACATAAGCGCCTCTCGACGGCACCGCCAGGTCCGTATCTGGATTTAAGTGGAGCCTGCGGCCTTAGAAAGTTTGCGGTCATCCATCAGACGTTGCGGCTTGTTCGAAAGAGAGCACTTGATCGTTAACGACAGTTGACGGACTGAGCCATTCAACATTGGACCTCGAAGGAAGTGTACGGTACAAACTGCAACCCTGATAGCGGTAGACAAAGCTGTGTTCTAGGGTAAAATGTACCTGTTCTACTATAGCAAATGAAACGATGATTGGGGCAGGTGTGTAGTTGGGCAAGTTACCACGTGAAGAGGCAGCCTGAACAACTATTACGCACGGTCAATGCTAATGTCGGACGTTTCAGATGAAAACTAGTTCGAGTAATAATCCTTTATTAAGGCAACAACAGTTGAGTAATCTTTTTAGTAAGATAGCTTTCAGGTATTCAAAGTGAAAGTTAACACAATTTGGCACAGTTAAGCCAATACACATTTAACTGCACCATATTCCTCGTAGGTTAATGCCGAACAAAATTTATTAAATCCTAGTCAATTTATTTGCAACTGCAATTGGCATGCCTGCCCATCGGTGGACCACTTACTAAAGAGAAGTTCTGTGCGAAGCCCAGCACAATAGGCGAATGAGGAAGCATACAAGAACTAACTGCAAGATACATCATTTCGGTTCAACCGCTTACGGAACTTTGAGAATTCTGTATTAACGTAATTCACCTTCTATTGCAATTAACTTACTCGACAATTCTATTTAATATTATTACTAGCCCATTGTTCAGTATTAACCGTACACAGCACTACTACCGCCTCTCTATAATCACGCCGGCGTAATATCAGTATAATAAACAACGGAAAACTGGTTTTCAACAAGCCCTCAATGACGGGACGAGTATTTCAGCGTCCCACTGATAAGAGACCGCCACGTAATTTTCAAGCAGCACAAGCCTCGGTCCAGAAAAAGTTCCACCTAAGTTATTTAGCAGTGGGTCACGTAGATAAGACCAGCTGACTTTTACAGGCGGAATTCCTCTATTTATCTGGAGAATGCCTGATCGGAACACTTCCGCATCGCTTCTCTTCAATAACACAATGCGCAAATAATGCACGAATGAACACATTATTTAAAATAATTGCCCATAACTGAGAAGAAGTTCCTCGGAAACTGTGAACTTTTCAAGTGAGGACAAAGAGCAGGAAATATCTTGACGGCATTAATGGAGCTAAATAGAATTTTTCCATTCTATTAAACAAGGGTGAGATCTCAAACACATCCATCCTATGTATACGAGCCACTTAACGCCGAGTTTAGGCATGACTAGTTTCCTAGCTATCTCAAGATTCAACTACAGTTCTAGACACAATTACACAAAAAAGAAACCTAATATTTATGGAATTGAGCACAAATAACATTACTTGGATTGTTACCATAACTTGATGTATACTGTAAATCTATATCATTAAGCCAATGCCAATAATTTTACTAGTAAATTTAAGAATGCACTATCTAGTATACTGGCATTGAGGTTTTTCCAATCGCGTTAGTCAGGCTCGAGCCGAATTCCGCGAAACAAGCGAAGTCGATGTCCGTATCTGAAAATTAGAGTTTATAGCCAGATAAGCCGAGATAACTGGTTAAGTTAATGGACAAAATATTGTGTACTTGAGCCACATCCTACAAGTTCTGATGTTCACTACTAATAAAAAAGCAATTGTCAATGCAGATAGCACAGACCTCATAGCAGTTTGCCTTGCCCTTCAAGCTAGGCGCTCTTACGCCTATACCTGTCACCGGGATCATCATTGGAATGAAACTGCTTAATTTTTAACGCAGTTGTCCTGCCAAACTACCAATTCAGTTATTAGTACAGATAATCTACCCCATACGGAATATATGGCGGAGGAAAGTGTTGGCCCGAACGATGACTTCCGTCGTTCAGTTGGAAAGCTTTGACGAATAGATCTGCGAAGAACAAGCTGTAAGGGACAGTGCTAATTTCATATAAAAAGTAATAATTTAAGTAATTAATGATAATATACAGTTAAATTAAATGAAAACGAATAGAATTTCTCTCAAGTAGTTCACTCAAGTAGTTTTCAATATTTAATAGAGATCGCGTTCAGCAGAGATACATGTGACTTTTAGTTGATCATAGGTTTCTTCAAATGGATGTAACTTTTGGCTCGTATGTTGAAATAAAGTCAATTGAATTTCTTAAATATGTGTGTTCTCTCCTTAGAAGCATTTCAACAATATAAAAGATGTTTCAATCCAATGCTACGCTCACTTTAGATGTAAACGATGTTTTAAACAAGTCTCATAGATAGGCAAGACGCGTTCCAAGTGATCTGGCAACGTAATAGGCGCTGGATGTACATCGAATATTAATAATGCCAATGACAGACACCGTCTTATATTGGTATAGCTACCATTTAAACTTTATTGATTTTATCTAACATATCTCTGCGCTATGAAACCTTTATTTCCAAAACTGCATTGCCAGAGATTTTCGATCAGTTTGTTGACGTTCCATAGATCTCGTAACTCGGTGTTGCCCGATCTTCTGTTAGTGCTCTGCTAGTATCGCTATATAGATTCAAAAATTATCTCGAAGACCATCTCTCTATTGGGCTTGAAACGGCATGCAAGTATCGTGACCTACAAAGTAATCAGGAGAAGATCTAATCACCGTTTGGCTGCCTGCAATATCTCTCGATTTATTTTGGTTTCTGGCCGATTATTACCCCGAAACGGCATCGTTGATAGGAGGGAGGGTGAGGCTCGAAAAATTATAGAAGGGCCCTGAGTAAAGTTGCAGTGTAAAAATTTAACAGATTGACCTGCTGCGTACGTCTATCTGAATAGGACCCCTCTACTGAAAAATTGATTATGTCAACTTTGGGATTTCGTCATTATACAGTGAAGTTCTAGCTGTGTCGTCGAAAAAATGGCACCTTTGTTTTAGATGAAGCTATGCTCTTCTCTAGGTAATCGGTACTCGATTTTAGGTCCAGTTGATCCAGAGCGAAGCAAGCTTCCGCCAGTTGATTGCGTGACGTTATGTAATCATCTTCCACCATGGGGCACTTGAATTGGACAAACGCATTATTATCTTCGTACCCACCCCTTGTTTTGCACTCATAATAAATTTATAATATCATTTTTGGGCATCTTGTTAAGTGTGCATACCAAGCAAAGCAAATACATATACTAAGCTAGATGATTCTCATTGAAATTAGGTATCGTTACATTTTAAAGAAATTATCAAAATGCAGGAATTTTGTATGTCAATCAAAAGCGGCAGGTCTGTCATATCACAGTATCTAACATTAAAGACATCATAAAGGAAACATGAGAAATAAGAAAATCGGTAAAATCTGGTACTATGAAAACGACACACTAAAGAAATGCTAAACAGACAAAGTGGCGATGTCTTTTTAGTAGTTTGCTTTACGGTAGACGGCCATGCCATGACGGTATTAAAATACGTCCCTTATCGAATAAACCCATCTTTTCCCGCAGTACAATTATTAGCGCTGGCGGTATAACTGTGCGTGTTCAGGCGCCGTTACCGACCCATTTGTGTTTCTGCTCTAGTGATGATGTCACCACAACATAATTATATATATTCTAATCAATGCTCTTTTACGAGATACGAAGACAATAGGACGCCAAAAATGTACAAACATTTTATTAGACAAAACAGCTTGAAAGCCTCTGTGAAACACTGCTCTGTCGCGTATATATTTTGTGTAGGAATAATGATAAATTACTTCCACCGTCTGGGAATAAGCAAACACAAAGTACGCTATTCAGCTTAATGTCTTGCTTTCTTTTTTTTTTTTTCTTCCTCTTATAATACTGATGTAAAGTAGCCGACACTAAACCTCGTCCTACATTGCCAATTCTTCGTCTGATTTTGTAAAGCATCTAATAATGAGAATATTATCCGTGTCCCAAAATTATCACTAGCGTCTACTAGAGTGACATTGGTATCGAAATGTTGCAGACGGTGCAGGATTGTGGCATTGTTTCCCGATGGCGACTAGCCAGTACTACCTATCCGTCCTGAACGATCGTGTCGTTGTTTATCTTGCTTACATCTATAGTTTTCGTCTGTTTCTTGGTCACTGTCACATCGAATGCCAGGTAGATGATACGATTATAACAGATACACGTATCATACTGTATCTTAGAGTTCTAGTAAAACAAGCAGAGTCGGCAGCGACAACGACGGTGACGTCAATGGCGTCAACTCAGTTATCAGCATGCACTTACTACATCAAACTAATTGAATTTTCAGGTCAGGGCTAATTCGTTACTTTTTCACTTACGTAGTCAGAACCAACGGCAGTCTGTTAGGCCAACAGTGATAGGACTTCTGTCGAAATTGTACAGGTTGTTTTAGATCACAAATACACGCTCACAGACAGACAGACGGACAGACAAAGCACATGCAAGCAGCTAGAGCTACTGGCTTTTGTTCTCCTTTCAAATGCTGAGTTGGCATTCCGTTGCGCTGCCGCTGTCCTATCTCCATGCTAGGGTGGCTTTTTGTTCAGCACTAGCAGCAAATCAGTCTGCCGGTATTTCACTGACTAAAGCTGGTTAGGAACAAGAGAAAGAACATCCCTAGGTATTATCCACCCTGGGTCCCATTTACTAGATCAGCTGCCCGTACCGGTCAGTCATTTTCTACTAAACCGCAAGTGCAGCAGATACGGACAACAAGCCAAAACACGTAGCTCCTCTATACAGCTTCTCCAAACAGGCCACAGAAGGACGCAGGGGAAAAGCAACGAAACAAGAACATACGAGCTAATTAGATCACTACCTTAGTTTATACTAGGCAGAACGCCAACAGCGATAAAGGCAACGATCTGTGCTGCAGACGTCATAAGGACTCTGAGTGGGAAGCGGGGGATGCAGCGATAGTTTCAAGGAGTGTTCCTTCAAAACATAGCTAACATACTTAGAGAGATACACCGCAGCTGTGGTGGGAACTACAAGAAAAATCTGTCAATTGTCAGAGATATCCAAGAGTAACGCTCTGTATTTCAAGCTGTGAAGTTAATTTAAGGTGTTTATGATAAACAAGCAGTAGGTGGTTGATCCTCGTCATCGCGTTCTCTTTACGTGCATCCTAGACGAACGCAACTCATCTTAGGCGTACGAGGAAACGTCTCTGTGTAGGAAATTGTTATAGGAACAAGGAAACACATTATTAGCGTCGTATTATTTTACCAAACAAAGATTTAGATGTGAAAGGTCTATCAAAATGACTGATGTTGCTTAGACCTTTGGTAACTGATGCTGTATTTACAGGGAAACATAGCGTCGTAGAATGGCACGCAGGCTTTGTAGCTTTGAGTCGCGGTTGAAAATCACAGCGGTCTTCCAATTATTAAAGATTCCACTATGTTTTGCGACTCCGCTATCTGCAAACTTACGTTATGATCGGAGCAGGTTAAATCGCACAGCGAGTTATCGACTGACGAAGATGTCGCGAAATAATTGAAAACGGTTTTTGTAAGCGACAAAATGGGTAAAAAATATTAAGGTAGACCCCCGCAAGAGCATAATTGTCCGTAGTATTCAATTGACATCTACGAAATTTCCTTTATAAGCAATTAAAAAGCGTGAATAAGTTAGATATGGGTATAGGCGATCTTAAAAGTGATGAGTCATGGGTTATGCTCAATCTTGTCAGTGGGGCGAGCTGGACGAGGTGCTAATCAAGCAATTGCACTCATCACGAAAAAAACGACTACTGGCGCCCCGACAGGAAATTAATTATTTAATTGAATGTGATAAACTTACGACTAAGCCGATGTTTGGTGAGTACGTTAACATCCAGCAATTTTAGTAACAATTAACCTAATTTAGATATTATTAGATGGTTGTCAAGACTTAATATGTAGGAAATGTTTCTCAGGTTAGTCCATAATATCTACAAATCAAACATATCTCGACAAATGATATGTCAAATTTCTTTCACATCAAAGATTCGTTTATACATATTTCGGTTATAAAAAGAGCTCTGGAGTATTGCGGGATTCTTTGGTGGAGGGTATTCATCGTATCATATCTCAAATGTGATGGAACGTAAGTTGAAACTAAAACGCAGAGCAATAAAGTAGTTACCCAAACGTGAGTCCCTTCCTTAAACTTGCTTGTGATATTCATAACTAGCGTAGGTAAAGCGATTCGTCGAGGCTTTGGCTTTTTAGAGTACCCTTATATTAAAATCTCTGCAAGTTAGGCTATCCAGGAAAACTGTTACACTTAGTCGCCGTCTTGCAAATACCGTGGGCTTCCATTTTTACATATCATTGAAGAGCTTGGCAAAATGAAGCCTGCAGACTGAGCCGGTTAAGGCATAATGTATGATCCTCTATGGCGAGATGGATCAGAAGGTCAATGGTACTGTTGAAGGACTTGCGATACAACAAGTGAATCAGTTGCGATATAACAGGTGAGTTCAGGGCGTCAGAAAATGTGCGGCGCGATTTCGGGGGGCTACGATGAAGTGCCAACTACAAAACGTGTGTGGGTTCAAATGAGATACCTAGTGCCGCCTGGCCACGTGTATATGCAACAAAGTCACCCCCACGCTGCAAAATTAACAATACATCTAATTTATAAGCAATCAAATAGACTCATCTGCTATCTTCAAATAAATAATTTTAGATTTAAGCACGACTGCTAATAGCGCGGTTTAATGCCTCCTGTAATCCGCGGCACATTTTGCTGATGAAACGTACAGCTGTTCAATAGATGTGAGCATCTTTCGGTTCAACTTGTGTAATAGATAGATAGAAAGTTTAGCTGTAGTAAAGGCACCCACTTAAGCAGTCGGGTATGCGAGAAGGATTTCAGGTTCCCGGTCTTTCCTTGGTAGGCGTCATTGGCACAGGCCCAATGATGCAGATGACGCTATTTGGACGTTATTTAGAGAAGGCGAAGGTCCAAAACGTCGTGACTGCTAAAGCTGTCGCAACGTGTTACATTCGACAGCAGGCTGATACAACTAACTAGGTGTACTTCCCCGATCAACCCCGATCAACAGGTGCGTACCACTTAACCTATGGTTAGAACACACAAGTTAGGATTCAAAACAATCACACCAGATTGACAGACGCAGAACCTGTCACCATCCACTGGGCCGTCATAAACAAAATCTGGCACTAATTTTTACACAGACAATTATGGACAAAGGTTTAAGCAAGAACGCGCCACGTTTAAGGACAATAAGTATTTTTTGTCTCGTGTAAAATCTCCCAAGTTAAATTAACTTTATAAAAATCTCTTTGACATCAACATTGCCTTTAGATTTTGCAGAGGCATAATCTAGGTCGTCGTTTTCCGTATGCTCCGCTATTTTCCTCTCGTTCCACTGATCCTACATGACACGAGGCAACGTGGCTTTCATTTAAAATCCTCGCTTGGTTGACTTTATTTTCAATTCGAAAAGTGCACATCAGAGTGCGTTGTAGGTTGACGGGGCAAGGGAATTAATAGCGCCGGCAAAAATCATGACGCTGACATTGCTGTTCTAGTCGTGCCGAGGTGCAAATATAGTTTGTTGATGTTTTGATGGACGAGGAACAGGTAAACTAGCAGATACTTTCCTCCACCTTCCCTAACCTCATGCTATTGGCCTGCGTCCCAAAGCACCCTCAACGCAATAACGGCGACGAGTTCGTTCTGCTTCTCAAACTGCTTGCGAAGAAGGCTAGTCGAGTGCTTGATACAGCGTAGCTCGTAGGCTATGCTCTTGCACATACGATCGAGCGTATTTTACAGGACAGATCGACTTCGTGAGGGTTTGTATTCTAGACCATACTATATTGACAAATCCCGAACCGTTGTCGGTTACTGGCAGAGCATATTGTTGTTATTGTGTACTTTCCTCTTTGTATGTACCGCCTCTGTGCGTGCGTTTGCGTAAACGTATGTTTCATTTGAAACATATGAAAACAATAAGGACTGAGATAACGAACCGAAGTAAAAACTATCCAACTCACTCCCGTCATTCGCACATTGAAGAAAAGTGCTCTTCAAGAGCGGACGGTCGTCAGCCGGAGGAGTGTCTGGATGCAAGTAGATTCTATTGCGTAGTGTGATCTTCGATGGAAAAACGTGCGAAGGAGCAAATTGCACCATTTTCATGTGACTAAGCAAGTCGTAACTTAACAATTACTGACCATCATATTACAGTAGAATAGGGATTTCGTAAAATATCTACCTGCTTAATAGAAATAGGGCATATGCAATTTGTACGAATTTTGCGGCACGAAGAAAAGGCCAAAAAAGCCCCTGTAATCGAGTTGCCACGTCTTAGATATCCTTGAAACTGTCCGTATGTGCCGGTGTCCCCATGTGTACGAGTCTTCCATAGATGTAATTCAGAAAAAGACAAGCACAGCCCTAATTCGAACACTTTACAGCCAAAAAAAAGTATACTTCTTCTGCTCTTTAATGACTAATTTGAGTAAGCATTTAACTGCTTCATATAATCTGATCGTCTAAGCTTCAGTAAGTTTGAACCTTTATGTCTTCGCGATCTTCTTTATCTTTTACAATTTTTACACCGTAGGTTTATTTACGAACAAAGTAAATATAGTATATTTTTTAGTGTAACGATAACAGGCATTAGGTAGCGTCCATCGGTCGTGAACAATGAAACAAGGATACGCTGCTTTGCTGTTTGTCTCGGTTTTTCGTACAAGGGCATTGACGTAACGATACAAACAATGGTTAACAGATTCCGGTACCGAAGAAAACCCCACTTAAATATCGCTTGTTTAAGTATATTATTATACAACAATAGATCTGTTTTTTGACCCCAATCCAACCCTAAATGTCTCGCGAAACCTAATACATTGAGCACAAAATGATCGATATGCCTATTTTTTAGACTCAAGCTTTCCTTGTCAAATTGGTTCAATTAATTTTATCAGAATATTTCATTTTGCTGCCTTTTTCTAAAACACGCCTTCCCTACCAGTACAGAGCTATAGACAGAACTGAAGTATATTTATACCTGTATACCTCGTACCTTTAAGCGATCACCAAAAACCTCCCAAAGCATTGCCTATTCTCGACGACGCGAATCGACGATCACACACTGCAACGGGCCACGTGAGAAAAACAGATTCGATACTATCTCGGCCTGGCAAATGTACGCAGGAGATGTCTGGTACTCTAAGCTAACCGACGAGCAGCGTATGGCGTACTAAGTGAACAAGATGCTGCTGCATCGAGTGTTGTCTACGACATTTCAATAATATCCATCAGAGCAAAATTGAAAATATTCCGTCTGCGATCTGATACCTCCGAAAGCAGAGTCCTGCCACAAACGCGCCTGGTCGAAGGCGTACTGCCTCGATTAGGGGAATGGCGGCGCGTTGCAATAGAGGTTAGTGTGCACTAGACTAAATAGCTTAGCGTGTCGGACCAGACTAATAAGACTGCCCTCAGAAAATCTCAAGATTGGAAAATGTACACTGTATATTTACCGCATGCTTTCTGAATGCCTCCATGTAAGTAGCATAAGAGCAACGGTTATTATTTTTCTATAATTTATTTTAATTTTTCGCGTTAATAATCGTTTATTAATGAAATAAACTATGATATGTCAAATGGTATCAGTTTAAGCTTGGGCATCAAGTACTGTGTTATTCAGGTACAAAGCTTTCAGAAATATGGCCATATATATCACTGCTGAGATCAATCAAAGCAGTTCCAAACAAGCCGACGTTACGCTTCTAGGTACCTGACAATCAGAGCAGGGCTGATCCTGTTTCTGTTACTTTTTTTAAAAACACCAATTTTCGAATTTGTTTAGTAAAATTTATAAATCAACACGCCATAATGATTCTGCTTGACCATTTGTAATCGAATTATATATATATATATATATATATATATATATATATATATATATATTGAAGATGTTATCCTCTAGTAGCAGACGATATTAGAGTACTTCCGGCTCAGGGACCATGTTGTCATCTGAAACGTTCCTTTGCCGCGTTGACAGAAATCCAATTTAATAATAACAAGAATAACAATATTTTTATGGATGGAATGGACAAATAGTAACTATAATGGAAAAACTGAAATATGCAGGATACGCCAATAAATAATTTTGTATTAAAATTGTTTTTTTTTTTCTTTTTCATTTAAATAGCATAAGATAGGGATATTTTAATATCGCTCAGTTTGCAGGTAATCCACATTTCGTCAGCGTCAAATCGCCCGATGCATTATTAGACTTGCGTGTTGTCTGGGCGTCTCAAGTCTATTAGATTGTTCGTTGTTTGCAAAGCTTGGTTACCAACTTTCTGGCTGTGCCGTCCTTTGACCATACAACCTAAATCAAGTGGAACAGTTTTGCCACAAGCCTCAATTACGTAATGTATTTTATATTCACTATATAAGTCGATATTATGCATCTGCAAAGCTTATTGACCCAGACTTTACACAAAGTGAGGACTCTTATGTAGGTGACTATATCTGGCTCAATGTTTCCACTTCTACTGGCACGTTTCGGCAAGTTTACAACTAAAAGAAAAGTAAATTGTTTTAAAATAATTCATCAGCAAATGGCATTTTTCCCTAACACGCGCCCTCTTTGAATATGTGGTACTCTTTTAAAAAAGTACTGCGATTCGCGTATAGCATGCGTTCCAAGTCTGCGCGAATTTAAACACAGGTTAAACAATGTTTTTGAGGGTTCTTCGCGCTAAATCTTCTCCATTGTAAGAGTTCATCTTTAGAGTTGTGCCAGTTCGTACGAACGCGTACAGGTTTTACTGTTTCGCTTCTTCACGGTGGAGTAAAAAAAAAGATGAGGTTACCGGGATGATGGCGGTTTTCCCACGCGAGCATTCTACGTTCCCGTTTCGCCCTAAACTGTCTTGGGGCAATCTACAATGCAATGTCTTGCTGAAACTCGCGTACGTATCTCAGCCCACCTACTGCACACACACACACACACACACACACACACACGTACACACACATTCAGACCCTGGGCACATGTGAACACCCGACCTTGCGAAGCTCCCAATTCTTAAAATGTCAGCTCCTATGCATACCTATGGTTTGGCGCAATACGAACGACCGCAAGATTTTGTATACTTATGTATAAGAGCGGCATCAATAGTAGTTATTATAGGTCATATTTTATGTTAAGATTCTGAAGATAAGAACGAATCACAAAAGCGTTTCACTTCTCATACAAAATTCTGTATTTCAATGGGCTTGGTCTAACATCATAGACATCATCTGCGCCCGCCAATGCTTACAGTAAATGTAGATCAGTGCTCTTAATTTCGAATTTTCGACTTCGTTGCTGTACAATTTCCGCTAAATCGGAGGCAAAATTTCATGGTTTTTTCAAAGTATTGGTTGTGTTTATTTATAGAATATCGGTTTGCTTTAGGCGTTCATGTTGCCTGCAAAATATAAGACTAATGAAGTATACAGGACAAATATACATACAAAATAAAAGTTTCATAATTAAATTTAGTTTTATAGAAAAATGTAAAACAGCAATGTAACCAACATATTCAAACTTAACCCTAAGCTATAAAGATATAAGTGTTTTGTCTCATACATATACCGTAAGTACATCGCGTTTTTAATACACACACATACACATAGAGTTGTCAAGTACGTTGTGGATTGTAAGTTAATCCCCAGTCTATACTCAAGCATAATTTTCCAGCAACATATATATACATTGTCCTCGTCAATATTTGTAAATCTATGCGTCAGGCACAGATCAACATCTGCCATTCTAACGACCTATTTATGAACGCAGGATTTCAACAACGCATAAATCAATATCGAGGTCCTGCTTTCGCTCGTTGTATGAAGTTCCGTTGAAGCTGCTGAGTCGAAACGGGTTGATGTTTATGGCTCTTGCAAGGTCTTGCCGATTGCTTATCCAATTGGTCGAATCGGTCTGGACTATGAATATGTCAACATCAAATAGAAATGTACCACAAACTTCTGATAATGTGGGGCTGAGTTTTCCGGCTCGTAACATTCTGTTATTGTATAGCTTCTTCCGACCAGGGGTAACCAAATAGGCGGCTGACTTTCTTAGAATGACATATACGTTAATTATAATGAATCAGTAAACCCGCGTTGCCTTCCATCTATGACAGCTCACATCTTGTCGGGCTGCGTTGCGTAAATATGGCGCCGTTGTAGGCATACGCGACAGGCAGTTGATTTTTAGCGACAATTGGAAACTAAACTGGGAATCGGTAAACAAAAAAAAAACAAACATCATCATTGTGCAACAATGTATCACTTACGCAGCAGAAGTATAGCCGCATAATTCTCTTTGGCAATATTGCTGCAAAATGTCTATAAATTCTTTTACCTGATGCTTAATACATAAATAAAGCGATCTCAAATGGCAGAAAATGTAACGGAAAATCAAGATCTTATACAAAATTATTGGCTAGCGGGATTGAAAGAAACGTTTCGATTATTCCATTTCTATCTTCCGTTGAACTGTAAGAACATAACTAGATATCATTAGTCGCATGCAATAAAAAATATTTACAATAACTTTGACTAAAAGAAAAATAATAAAATTATAGAGGTCAGCAATTCTCTATTTACCTTCTATATTTACTTTTACGTTGTTCTATATTATGATAAAACGCAGTTCTTTGTAGTTCTAGAAGTACATATGTTTAACATTCTGCCACTTAGACAGCTACAGATCCCTTTTTCGGACTCTGCAATTAGTTTGTGTGTAGTTTATTAACAGCATCAATATAAAAGGTTTGTATCAATATAAAAGCAATATTTTTTTCTTATGAAAATATCATTAAAAAATTAGGTTACCTTCATGATTCCCCGGAATGCAACAGTCTATGAATACATTTTTAGTTTATTAATAGAACAGTACAAGTATTAGAATAGATTGCATCTTGGATGATCACATTGTCCAGCACAGCTATGAAAGGAATCTTAAGAAATTTTTAAGCTAAAGTCAAATAAGCCTTAAGACTACGTTTTAAGAAATCACAAACGTATAGTACTATAACGAAATCAAATCTGATAATAATATTAAGGTAACGTTAGTTTTTTTTTTTTGTAATTCGGGTTTCTCATTTGACACTGTATTGATTTAGTCGGTCATCTTTCAACTACAGACATGACATAACTTAGCGCTGCAGCATAACAGCCTTTAAATTTGTCAAAAATAAGGGTGGTCATAGAAGATATACCTCACTCGGAGAACCGTTTTTCTAGTATCACGTTTAGTTAAACAGATGTGAAAATCACGTAACCTGTTACCCAAATTGGACCCAATTGGCAATA